GATCCTACTGTATTGGGTTTCCTCTATTAAAACTTTTTGTCTTTTTGCTTCCAAGTAGAAGCCAGAATACTCTTTGTTCTTGCCACTTCTATGCAGGATAAAGAAGATAATGACAGGCAAGAAAGAGTTAAGCAACTAACTAAAGTATAATACAAGATAGCAGTCTTCCTTTTGAAGCTGGAGGTGACATTTGAAGATCCATGTATTTGGTAACTAGTTACTGTTTGCTGTGTTGCATATGCTTCACTATCTCACAGGATTCTTGCACAGATCAGGACAAATGGCAATCTAAGTTACAGAAGACTCTAAAGTATATTTACAATTGCTTCTAATTTTTTAAACTGAAGGTGGGATAAACTTTAAAATGTTGTAAGTTGATCAAGAGACTACACGGCTTGAGGATGACAAAATGCTGGAAGAGGAAAGAGTATAAATAGAAACCCCACTTCCTTGTTGAGTAGAAGCCAAACTTGTGGTTGAACCTTTCTATATGAGAGTTCGCTGAGGTCCAGATAGGCAGCTGAATATGAATTTCTGAAGAAACCAAAAATTCTGAGATCTGAAGGGGGGAGTGGACATAGTACATACTGAAGACTGCACTGAGTATTTCTTTCCTGTGCAACACCTGGCTGCAGCTCTTGGAAAAAGAAGATACCAGTGGAACTCAGAGAATGTTGGTGTAAATCCAGCACCAGCTCAGTGAAAGGAGAAATGTATGCCTCACCTTTGAGTGCAATGCCATTCATTTCGGCCCGAAAGAGGCTTAATATAACTTAAAAACAGCCTCCCAAGGCTGAGGATTTGAAATAAGGGCTTATCTGGACAGTAGGATAAATAGATCTGCTGCTCTCTTTTCAAACTTGGAAATATTTTTCTATTGATAAGTAAGGGAATATTTTACAGCAATAAGCATGATTATTTTTCTCCTGATAAATTTTCCCAGTAATATCCTGCATATTACAGATTATGCTGCTGATGTTTAAACCACATGACACTGCATGGAGCGCCCTTCATTTCTAATTCGTATAGTGTCTAAATAGTATATGACATTTTTAGATATATGACTTAGATTTTTTTTTTAATAGGAGTTTTATGACTAAAATTTTGCATTATGCTTTTAAAACAAGGGATATATGAGCCAGAATCTAATTGTTTTGTAAAATGAATCATTTTGTCTGCTCTTCGTTAAAATACAGCTCTAAACTTGCTCTAGTTCAGATAAATTAATTCAAGAAATCTTATGGCCTGTATCTATACAGGGGGTTAGGCTAGATGATTGCGGTGGTCCCTCTGGCCTCATCTATGACCATATTTGCAGTTCAGTTCTGATGAAAGACTTTTTTGGGGAGTGGTGGTGGGTATTTGGTAGCTCTTCCTACACAGGTCATGTGTTTGTGTTTTTTTCAGACTCAGATTTTGGTTACTTAGTTTGGCAAAATTGTATTTGTATGCCTATTTGCATCAGGATTTTATAAGGGGAATTGTTTGGGTTTGGGTTTTTTTTCAGAGTGTTTGGGGGGGAGGGGTGGTTTGGTTAGTTGGTTTTTTTCCCCAGTCAAAAACTATCAACCAGAACATGTGACGTGCTCAAAAGAACCCACGTTCGTTCCTGCTCCCAAAGGTCTGTGCTCTCATGGGATGTCTGTCTGTTCAGTGTTTACCTTTATCGGCCTTCCTAACATGGGCTGAGGAGATAGGAAAAGGAGATTGCAGGTCTGCAGTGGAGGAGAAGCCAGATCAGAGGAAACCATTTGAAAGGCTAAGCCTGAAGAGAGAAGAGAAACTATGACTTCCAGTTAAGGGAAGAGATTAAAATTTAGGTCAATGGGACACCAAGGCAAGCTGAACAAAAAAAAATTTAGGAGTGGCTAAACAAGATGGGTCAGCTATGGCAAGCTTGATACGGTTGGGAACTGGTGGAGCTGGGGAGGTATGTAAGAGTTCATCCATTAGTTGGGCTAGTAGAAATAAGGATGACTAATCTGTTTGGATATTTGAGATAGGAGCTGGAGAAAGCAGTACACTGAAAATACTGATTTATCTGGAAAACTGTTCTATCCTAGTGGACATCTTGGGCAGCTTGGTGTGCAGCTGCCTATGACTGTTTTAACTTCATGAAGTCAAATAATAACAGTCCACACAAAGATTCACAACCATGTGCCTGAAAATTTGGCAAGATGTTGGCGTTTTCCCATTTGCTTCTTTTTTTTATTATTATTTTTTATTTTAAAACAAAGAACAGCTCTTCATTAAAGTTCAGTTTACAAAGGCAATTTGAGTTGTGAAACACTATAGACATTGCTACATTTTGGCCTCCTTAAGAACTTAAGACCTCTGGGAGTTGGATGTCAAAGTACTAAGTCAAAAAATTTAATTTCTTTCCAAATGAGTTGTTCTTACTCTTCCTTTACTGTGAACATTTTTACATTTTTGACCTTTTGGGCCTGATTTAAAACAAAGATTTCTTTTCTTCTTAAGGAAAACTAGTCACAGGAAATAGGTATATTCTGGATAGCATTAACAGACATGAATTTTGTCTTTTGTTTTTTTGTATATAAAAACTTCCGAGTGCTTTCTCAGGAGTGGTATGTAAAGACAAGGAGTAGAAAGTTGATTCCTGTGTTTCTTAGATCTCCGGTGTAACTCTCTTTCAGTATGTTTATGCATACACCCAACTTCACCCAATATGAGTCATCTCGCTGACTTCAATTAGCTGTCCCTTTGCTACTGACTGGCTACGCAGCCCTTCCTTTACACAATTGATGAGTCTTTGTCCAGCTCACTGCAGTCTACTTACATCTTCACAAGTCTCTGTGCAGCCAGCATAAGTTTCCTTGAGAAATCCTGATTTTAGGGACGAGTATCCTGTGGAGTCTTTCCTCTTGGATCCCTCATGGAATGTAGGACTAGAAGGGAACACAAAAACATCTTCCTTGTCTTGGCAGGATTGAAACCATTCATGACAGGTGTTTCTTCCACTTACCTCTGAAATCTTTTAGAGACGGACCACTGTTTAGAGAGACCATTTTCTTAGGTTGTTTCAAGTGCTTAAGTAGCCTTACTCCCGGAGAAACTGATCTAGCTAAATTTGGTACAATTTAAACTTGTTTACACTCTCATCCACAGCAAGTGTGCTAAAGATACGTCTTACTATCCTCTGTTAACCATTTTCACGCTTCCCCAAGTTTTTGCAGCCTTTCATTGCAGAATGTGTTTACAAGACCTCTAATAATTTTTCTTTGCAGGCCTCTTTACTTCATTACAAATGTAAACTAATGGTTTGACATAATTTATTTTCATGGCAGTTACGTCATTATCTTATAGATGCTTACAAGTTTTGTTTTTCACAGTATTGCAGGGTGGAATTGAAGATGAATTGACTGCCCATCTCTTTTGGTCATCATCTCCCCCCTGCTGCCCCATTTTTTTTTCTTTTTTAAGAGATGGTGTAAATACAAGTGGTTTGGAGTATTTTATGTAGAGAATTACTTGTTTACTTAGAAGCATTTTTCAACTCCAGAAAAGATCTTGAAAAGTGTAGACACTAATGGAATTAATAGGCATTGATGACCTATAAGAGATAATTTATTGATGATTCTCAAAATGCACTCTTAGGAATAATACTTGGGTATTAAAAAGCATGCCTGATGACTAAATATTACTGCTTGTTTTCTTAAGATACTTTACCAAATACTGCATGGTACCCAAGGGACCTGACCAGTCAGTCCTTGGGGCTGATGACAGCGTGGAGCAAGCATGTGTGGACCTGGGTGTCGTTGACTTCCAGGCTAACCAGGCATGGGCAGAAGCTGCCTGGTGATCCCAACAGCTTCTGCCAGGTGCACCAGCTCTAACTAAACCTCTGGAGAAAATGGAACAGGAAAGCCAAAAACACAGGCTTGGCAAAGGGGTTAAACTACAGTAACTTGAACCTTTTCATTTAGAATTCTTGCTGCAGGACTCTGTTTAGGATACGGACTTTCAAAATACTCCATTGCAGAAAGCAGTATCAGTTCAAATAAAAATCCAACCAGAATTATGTGACTAAATCTTTCATCTTTCTAAGTTGTCTCCTCTTACAAACTCTTTGCTGAGTGGCACTAACAGCAGAAGGAGATAATCCACAAAATCTTTACAACTTCTTTTACACCCTCCCACTGACAAAGAAGATTGGAAAAGATAGGCTAGGTGGATGTTTGTTTTACAATATCTGAAAAACAAATGCTGGTTTTCATTTTACTACCTCTACCTTTTTAATAAAATTAACACTGTACCTTCTGTCATTATAATAAATTTAAATACTCTTGTCTCTAGTTTATTGCTGTGATCTGCCCATCTTAGATTGGTACCAGCTGCAGCTTTTGGGATAAACCGAGTCATGTCTCAGTAAAATCCTGGGCAGAGGTAGGCACGTCTGTGCAATGGGAGGAGGTCAGTGCCCAGCCTGCCAAGTAGTCATTGTCCCGGTACGGTCAAAAATAGGCGTTTTCTTTCCGTATGCTGCATCTCTCTTTCAGCACTTGTGTGCAGATATCTTCTGTAGGGATTTTTTTTTAATGAGGATAGAGTAACAGTGCACATGTCCTCCTAGCCTGATGTGGGATTCGGGCGTGATGGATCTGTGCACCTGGTATCATCTTCGCACCAGATACTCGTACTGATACGTCTCCTTTGTTTGACCCTTTGCTAGTATTAGAACTTAATGGTCCTGAAGTGTGTAAAAATAGCGGCCTTGCTTTTTTTCTTTCTTCCTTTTTTTCCCCTCTGAATTTTTCCCTTTAACTAATTGACACAGATTTATTCCCAGGTTTTGCAAACCACTTCTCAATGTTTTTCTCTTTCCTCGTGTTCAAAATTGTAAAATATAAATGGGGCAACAGAGTTCCCTCTTTCCCAGGGAATTGTATAATTTGAATTTAGGAAGACTCAAGAGTTTTTCTTACTCCATATAAAATATGAAGCATTTCGGTGATTTAATAGGTATTTTTTTACTTTTCTAGGTGACACAATTGATGATCAAAGTAGAGAGTCAAAGGATAAAACTTCATTTCCAGAGGCCAGACCGATGTGCAACCAACCTCCACAGGTAGGAGACTATTTCCTTAC